AAGTCTTGCGATTTAATTATAATCATATCGTAGAAATATATATTAGAAATATGCCATTCTAAAAACCACGTTCGCAAATGGATTAATGATCAATAATTCTTCCATGGAAGACATTGGAGCTTAGAGCAAGTTCCTTCCCATGCTTGTCTGCATTCATCATTCACACCATCACAACACTTGCACACCATACCAAGAGTAGCAAACAGCTTCTCATACCCTATTATAATCAAATAAGAAGATCATCGTTATTTCGAGATCAGTTAAGCAGTCCGATAGATAAATGTGTCCGACTTTCGGATTCTATATCACAATTCTTGCATAATTAATTGAAGATGAGAGAGAGAGAGTGCTTACTCTGTGAATCTTGGGATGTTATAGGCATTGCTTCAACACCTTTTGGGCAATGAGATATGGTGACAATCATCAAGAGCAAGATAAGGAGTTCAAAATGCTTGGGCATATTCATATTCTCTTCTGCTATATAAGTAGATACAAAAATGTATTGTTGTTGTATTGGAAACGCAGGACAAAGAAGGCTAGTTTTAAAATGATGAAATGTGGGTGTTTCTCTTTGAACTGTGTGAGCTTTCTAGAACAAGACTCCAGAGGTGGAGTGACATGCCACGCGTTTGCACCTCTATGAAGTCTTTTTAGTCTTTTAGGTGTGGGGTCCAGTAGGCTGCTGATTTGTTGTAGTAATTACTCCGTAAGTTTTATGTGGACCCACCAGAGAGAAGTTTATGGGAAATGAAGAATAATGTTTAATATTATTTTGTCTTCATTAATATAGTTTTAATTTGATTTGATTTTGGATTTGCTTTCACATGATTGTTATTGACAATGTCACCATAATTTAATTATATCCGATTCATATTTGATAATTCCACATGTTTGAAATTCAAATTTTCTGTTTTAATTTTTACAAAGCGGAAACTATATGTGAGTGAATAAACTATTATGTCGGCTACCATAAACATTGTTTATATGGGCAAGACTGCAAGAGAATTTTAAAACAATTCAATTTGGAAGTCTAAAAATTAGGGTAAAAAAATAGAAAAAAGAGTTTCGAAGGACTATTCAATTTGGAAGTCTAAAAATTAGGGTAAAAAAATAGAAAAAAGAGTTTCGAAGGACTAAAATAAGATAACTACAAAACAATCATCAATTGGAACCCCACATTTTGGTCTTAAAAAACAAAAAAAAAAAAAAAAAATTGATTGTCTTCATATCCTACTGAAAAAAGGCAAAAAAAAATTGGCCCTAAATCATGAAAAAATAATTTTTACTAATAAATTATTAAATTGTTCTGAACCACTGTTGTGAGAATCGAAAGTGGAAATCTGAGTCGGTTATTGTTAAAAGTACTATTTTTCTGAAGTCAGTTATTGTTTATTGTAGCAGGATTTTACAAAAAAAATCTAAAAATTAGTCGATTATTGTTATTTTTTATTTTTTTAATTTTTTTTAACGTAGTTCACGACTTCATGTTTCATAACGAGAGTCTATTAATTGAAATAAATCACAAAATGTCAATGGTTTAACACCATCTAATAATTTTTAGAGTAATGATACTTGCACCCATTTGTTGCACCGAATGTTTCTGATTGGGTATTTATGCATAGTATATGTAAATGGAGGATCCCACATCTTTATTTATGTATAAATGGATCGATTAAAAGAAATAGGTCTAACAATTCATTACAAACAAGTCGCATAAATAAAAAAAGTGGAGCGTTTTAATTACATGTACTATGCATAAATAATCAATCAAAAACATTCATTACTCTAATTTTTAATTTCCACAAATTAAAATAGATCTGCCAAATTGCATTGAAAAACATGCCATCTTCTTCCCTTATGAGGAATGTTAAGGACAGTTGCTCTTCTCATTGGCTACTTTAACTCTCATTAATTACTCTTTCTCATTTCTCAAGGACCGTGAAAAATATAACCTACTTTAAAATAAAACTCACCTTTTAAAGACAAAATTACTCTTTAACTCATTTTTCATTACCTTTCTTGTATCTCCCCCCTCAACCCATATACGTGTTTACTACCTTTATTTCTTTCCTTTTTATTTCAATTATTGCCACTACTTATTTTTTTCCACCTCCTCCTTTTTTAAATTGTTACCATTAGCCCTTTTTCCTGTCCTTCCTTTCATTTTTTTTCTTTCTAAATTGCTCTGATTTAATAACAAATTTGGTGAGCATTCCCCTGTTCTTAAATTTAATAATTTTTTTCTAAATTTGGTGAACATTCCCCTGTCTTATTTGTTCTGGTTTAAAAAAAAAAAAAATGAAAGGAAGGATAGAAAAAAGGCTAATGGCAACAATTTAGAAAAAAAAAAGGAAATAAAGAAAAAAAGGAAGGAAAAAAATAACTAGTGGCCACAATTGAAATAAAAAGGAAATAAATAAAGACAGTAAAAAATATATCTATATACACGTATATGGATTGAGGGAGGAGATACAAAAAGGTAATGAGAAGAGATTTAAAGGGTAGTTTTGTCTTTAAAAAGTGAGTTTTGTTTTAAAATAAGTTATATTTTTCACATTTCTCGATAATAGAGAAAGAGTAATTAATGAGAGTTAAAGTAGCCAATGAGAAGAGTAACTGTCCTTAACATGCCTCTTCCCTTATTTAGCTCTTTAAGCAGTCTAAACCGAAAGAAAGTATTAAATACTTTGGGGATATGTACCGGGACAATAGGAGCCGTTGAATCATTATATTCAGATTTTGACATTGAATTTAATTTTAATTAATTTATTATTATTATTATTATTATTATTTTTACGCAAAAACTTCTTATTGAGCATGAATCTTCTGCAATACACCACTAGTGTGAGACAATCCTTGTTGCTCCAACCCCTAGTCCTTTTTTTTTTTTTTTTCTTTTAAATGAATATCTCATCGATATTCCAATGTAAAGTCTGGAAGACTGGGATGAAGGGATAAAAATTACTATAATCAAGTATAATGTCTTGTCATTCTTAGAATATAATACCAAAAAAATTAAACTTATTCTAGAAACTATAGACTTGTTTACAGTAAAGGATATGAACATGTAATAGAATTGAGACTTTGCTACCGTGAACGGGTTGGACCATGTTAATGGAACAGATAAAGTCCGAATGATTCCAGGTAAGGGAATGATGACTTCCTTCATAGTCAAGGAAGAAAGGAATTTCAAGGAGAGAATGGAAAATAAAGAGGAATCCAAACAGAATTTTCAAGATTCTAGAGTGCATGTACTGTGACTAGGGAAACTTCTAGCTTTATCAAATATTTATTCTTTGTTCATACATTGAGACCACTTTGAGAGATCCAAACACACAGATTGTTTGAACATGGCCATTATTCCATGGAAAATTTTGGATTAGATTGGGGGGATGCATAGAATTTCACTCGAGTTTCCAAAATAGTCAAAAAAGGAGATTTTGTTTTTCCATTTTGTAGTTTTCTTTAAAGATTACATTCTTTGCATCTTTTTCTGACGCCAATAAGTATTACGTTTTGATGAGAGGGAACAAATTGTCACAGTGCCAGCTTTTTTCAATGTCGGTATGTGAAGGAACTAAAAGTCAAAACAATTTGCACTCGTCCACCTTGCTCCATTTAAAATTGTTTTGAATAATTTACTTTGATATGTTAGAAAGTTTCAAATTTATCAATGTTAATATTCTTTAAAAAAAATTAATGTTGTTACGGTAAATGCAGACGAATTAAGTAATAATTACGAAACATGATAGAAAAATAAATACACCGTATAAAAAATATAAAGATTTATATGCATTTCGACAAAACTTGAGTGTCAGAACCACGTATTTAAAAATTCCAACCCTACTCTAAATTCTGTATGAATTTAAGTCTCTTTCACTCTTAACTCTAAACTCTAAACGCCCTTATATATTGGGTTACAAGAAAGTACTACTTAGGATACACGACTCACAAAAAGCTCAACAAACTAATTATCGGATTGTAAGGTGGTCGCAACATGACCCGGTACTAAATTCGGGCCACAACATCACAGATGTTAATGTTATTTGGTTAATTTGATTTGAATGAATGTTTATTTGACTTATATATATATTTAAAAAAATAATTAAATTTTGAGTGGAAAAATTTGGAAAAAAATGAGTTTTTTTTTTTTTTTTAATAGTTGGTTCTCACACACTTCCTCCAAGAAATTGTTTGCACTTAGTAGCAATCGATCCTATGACTAAAAAAAAATTAGTTACCCTTTAGAGTAAAGAAATTATTAATCTTACTCGTAATGACGGGAGGACCCAGTAATGACCTATACTCGGACTCCACTTAGTTGGGCATTAGGTATAACAAGTATCAAGGATGTGGTCTAACTTTGATACCACTTGTAATGAGCCGGGTGTTTGCCCTATAACTCAAAAACTTAAACTAGAAGGGAATGTTGTCTACCCATTCATGTATGTCCAAGTCCACCATTTGAATATAATGTGAGACAACATGATTATCACAACAGACTATTTGACCATTAAAATGTATGATTTTTTTGGGAGTAAATAGTCATTCATATCTTATATGAGTCCACAAATATTCGGGACTTGCACCCTCACTCTCTTTAGTTCCGTTGGAGGGAAGAGAAATTATACCAAATGGGCTACTGTCTCACTCTTCGTTAGGCATGCTCTTGCGAACATTATTGGGCCGGTTTCTAATATGGACAACATTATAGGCCTGTATCCACAATACAATGGGCATGTACCAAGTTTACGACACGCATAAAAAATGTACCAATACCCATTCTTATAAAAACCTTGAATTGTGTACAGATTAGGCCCGAAAACATATCGCATAGGATTGCAATTGACTACCAAATAAAGGTTCGAACATAAAATAATAATAATAATAAAATAAAAAATAATAATAATAATTTTCATAAAAGAAGATGAGAAAATTCCACATATATTAAAAATATATAATATATGTACATATACATTTTTTTTATTTTTTGAAATTTCCGAGTTTTGCTGATTGTATCCACTGAATGACCGTTTAGTTCCTGTTCCGTCGGTTATTCTGGATTTGCAAATGCTCTCTCCCTTTCTTCATTCTCTTCCCCCTAAAATTCTCTGCAATTCTCGGCACCGAAAATCTCCATTACCGTGTGTTTTTTCATCTTTCAAATCATCCATCTGTTTATGGTTAGTTTGTTCTGTTTCTCTCACCTTCCCAGGAAAATAAAAAAAGAAAATGCTAACAAGGGAACCCATCTTTGATTTCCTTAGAAACAAACGAAAGATTGGGTTGATTTTTGTTTTCTTTGATTTGGTTTCTGCTTTATAGCATTGTGTGAATTGATACACTTTTTTTGTTAATTGATTGTAATTGGATCTTGATAGGTTTGTAGGGGAGTGAAGAGAAGAATCAATGGCATACAAGGTTGATCACGAGTACGATTATCTATTCAAGATCGTCTTAATTGGAGATTCGGGTGTGGGAAAATCCAACATTCTTTCCAGGTTTACGCGGAATGAGTTCTCCTTGGAATCTAAATCCACCATTGGTGTCGAATTCGCTACCAGAACACTTCAGGTCAATTTCAATGTCTATGATCTCCAATTTTTTGGTTGTATTTTATGTAGTTTCAGTTTATTGGGACTTGTAGATCCTTTGACCTATTTGATTTAGAAACCTTTTTGGAAAAATAATTGTAACAATTGAGAAATTGCAATTTTTGAATGAAATGTAAGCTAGGTGTTTGAATAAAAGTTACAATGAAGAGAAGAGAAAACTTCTAAAATCAGTGAATAGAAACATGAATGTTACCAAATGCAGCATTAACTAGTCAGTTAATTGTTCTTTTAATAAATTGTTTATGCACTATGATGTAAATGGAATTGGTATGTATTATTTGTTTGTATGTGATTAATTGATATCTATCTTGTCTTTGTTGTTTACTTTTAATTTTCTATGCTTTTATAATAGGAACGCATTTGAATTCTTTTCTGTTTGAATGGCATTGTTTGACAGTTTAAATTTGGAATTAAATTGGTCAAGAAATGTTAGAAACCAAATGAGGTATAGATTTATCTGTACCAAAATTTTTAACTTCACTTATGTGATTGGAACACGTATAGAACCATCTCGATCAATGAAGAAGCAAATACAATAATTTAGTTTGGTATGGTCTAATTATTTAGGATATTAAGGTCTCATTATCACCATATGCATGTGTGAGAGAAAAAGAGGAGTCCATTTGGATGTGCTACCATGGGGGACTTTACAATAGGTGGACTTGCTGTCCCATTTGCCCGTAAAAATGAGTTGTTTGGAATGGGTTGTTTTTTGATGTTCACTGAGGAACCATCAATCTTTCAGTCAATTGGATGCCAGTTGACTTGCTCATTGGTTTAACTGGTTGGATGATGATGAATCATGGAATGTTAATATAACAGTGGCTGGCATATTGACGGGAAATTTGTGTTAATGAAAAGGTGCAGAAAGTGGGATTGGCATAAAAAATGTTGTTGACTTCTTTTGTTGAGATATGGATCACACTTCTTTTATTTAGTCCATATAGAGCAAAACTTTGGCCTCTCTTGACCTTTTTTTTAGTTTTAATTTTTTTTTCTTGCTCAAAATCACCCATGAGAATCAAAATTTTTTTTTTCTTTCCTTTTTTTCTACAATGCTAAGAACATGTATGAGAATTTTACATAAATTTAACTCCATGCCTCATTTTGATAGCAATGTAAATTATTGCTTATACCGTCCATTTAAACAGTATTCATAAATCTAATATGCTCTCTCTGTTTCATGAATTTGCATGTTACATATTTTTGGACGGGATGAATTGATCCATTCTAGAATATCATGGATAGTATTTTTTTTCAGTTCAAGAGTTTTGCGGATGAAAAGTGAACAACCTGATGTACTTTTACCCTGAACTGTTGAAGTAATATGGTGAAATGGAGTGATTTTTCATTTACAATCTGACCTCTATTTTTTACCTTTAAAGTAGGTGTTTGTGGTAAATATTGAGCTTTCCTTTGGATTGGGGTTTATCAAGACTAATTCTGCGAGCTTGCGGAATACAATGGGATCTTTGCAGAGTTGCTCATTATGAGTGTTAAGATCAATTTGACTGGGAAGTCCAATGGCAAAAAGAGGGGGATTCATTTGCTCGTTATTTAGTACAAATCGGTGAAATGAAAGAATCCGTAAAATTTATTCAACAGCCTCTAGAATTACAAGCATAAATCAAAGTAAAATGATCAATAAAAGCAATGTTGGAGGTTTATATCAATTTGTATCTTATGTTTCAGCAGTTACTCATTGATCTGCTTACTGATCAGGAAGATTCTTTTTATAGAGCCATCGAGTGTTTGCCACTTGCTTTATCTAGGACCCTAGGTCTCTTCTATGCCTAAGAATATGAGAGAGCCCATCCATTTAGATATCCATTTATGTATGTGTTTGCAAGCATTACTCTGCATGCGTCTGATGATATTTCTTGCCAATTTAGCTTAAAACATTTTGGTTCAGGTAGAGGGCAAGACGGTGAAGGCACAAATATGGGACACGGCTGGTCAGGAGAGATACCGAGCCATCACAAGTGCTTATTATAGAGGTGCAGTTGGTGCACTCATGGTCTATGACATAACCAAGAGGCAAACGTTCGAGAATGTCCAGAGGTGGCTCAATGAACTGAGGGACCATGCCGACTCCAACATTGTCATCATGATGGCTGGAAACAAGTCCGACCTGAATCACCTTAGAGCAATCCCCGAACACGATGCTAAATCATTGGCTGAGAAGGAAGGGTTGTCATTCCTCGAGACTTCAGCATTGGAAGCAATTAATGTGGAAAAAGCATTCCAGACAATCTTGTTGGAGATTTATCAGATAATAAGCAGGAAGGCATTGGCAGCTCAGGAGGCAGCTGGTACTTCTGGGCTTCCCGGTCAAGGCACCACCATTAATGTTGGGGATTATTCAGGTAATTCGGGAAAGAAAGCTTGTTGTTCTAATTGACACTGGCAGACATGAAAGAAGTGCCAGCGTGACAAAGACAAATTTTGTTCAACCGCAATAGAAAATGTGGGATATGTGCCGCCTTCTTTAGCAATTTTTTGAATAGTGATCATGTGAGGGAACACCAATTGCTGCTAAGAACCACTGTTGAGCTAGATATCACAATGTTAATCATCTACTTCACTGGAACAAAGAAGAATGTTTCGAAATTTTGTGTCACATTATAGGCAGGTATACAAAAACAAAACCTTGTAATTGTAGTTTTACTTTTATATTATTGTTAAGATCATCAGTATTTTTCAATCTTTCAATCAACTTTTCTGTTCATTTTTTTATTAGCACGAATTAAATTCAAGCTTTCAGATTGCTTTTGACATTGTATTTAAAAATGTAATAAATGTTTGAGTGGTGCTGTGTAGCTTTAAGATGAGATGGACTGTTAAAAGGCATTTTAAAGTGTGATATCTGGATGGCCAAGTCAGGGCTTTAAGATGAGATGGAGTGTTAAAAGGCATTTTAAAGTGTGATATCTGGATGGCCAAGTCAGGGCTTTAATTAATCCCAAGGGGTTGGCTTAGTTGAAAAAGATTTAGGTCTTGGTGTCTTACGAAACATCAGACCTCAGGATCGATTCTTCTTAAAAGCAAACAATTTCTTAGGGGCTACGCTCACGGATATAGTCTGAGTTTTACCTGATTAGTCGGGACAAAACCCCGAACACCCCGATTATATAAAAAAAAAAAAAACAAAAATTAAGACTTTAATTCCTTAGATTCTTTTATTTGGTTTAGTAATCAAACCATTTTCATTTTATGGAACTCCCAAAAGGAAGGTTGTTTAAAGGTGGATTGATGGCATGGATTGATCATTGGGTCAAAACTTTAGGACATGAAATATTTAAAGAGGGAGTAATGATACTTGCACTAATTTGTTGCAGTGAATTATCTAACCGAATGCTTTTGATTGGTTATTTATGCACAATAGATATAAGTGTAGGGCCCATTTTTTTATTTATGCATAAATAAACCAATTAAAAGAAAAAGGTCTGATAATTCACTACAACAAATTGCGTAAATAAAGAAGTAAAGCCTTCCACTTACATGTATTATGCATAAATAACCAATCAAAAACATTCGATTTGATAATTCACTGCAACAAATGATACAAGTATCATTACTCTTAAATGTGATAAAACACATATTCTTAATAAGAGAGTTATTGGAGTCGCATAAAAAACCAGTCATTGTTTGTGCTGCACCTATATCTTGAACCTTCTCAGTTTTTTGTTGATTTGGAGCTACTATTACAACCTTTAGCTTTCACCGAAAGTCCTCCTTTAAATCAATCTGTATTATGTGGTCCAGTATTGTTTATAGTGCGTGCCTTGGCTAGGATGGGGTTTTTTTTTACTATTATTATTGAAAAGAAAAAAAAAAAAATCAAAATTTCATCTTTTTATAATCAAACTTTGATTTCATGATGGCATTCAAGTTGTTTTATCCAAATCCCACTCCAATTCAAACGAATCAACAGAGTGACAATCTGAGCAATAATGCTCCAATACTTGAGGACCCAAAACTTATACTCCGTATTATGGTAGTGTGTGTATATATCTATATATATATATATATAATATTTTTTTTTGTCCATTCCATACGGGGCTGTCCATTAACTCTATCAATAATTGGAATCCTTTTCATTCACCACTCACGGTGTAACGCACCCTAACCACTTCCAACATTCCACAATAGCTCGCTTTGTAAACAATCATTGTTAATGTGTTGTGTGTCACAACAACATTGGGGCCTTCGTTGACAGACTTTTAGATTTTCTTATCTCATCATTTGTTGCAAGAAAATGGGGCAAAAAAAACGAAACTGGTTCAATTAATGCTGATTTGCCCGCAACCAACACTCCCGCAATCCAACAATAACTTCTCTTAATTGATCATGCTTTGTTTGAAGAAATTAGTTAAATTTAGAGTTCAAATGTTTATTTGAAGACTCGTAAAACTCTCAAAAAGGACAAAATCTAATTACGTCAACAAAGTAAAATTATAAATTTTTAAATGAGAATTCTTTTTATTTTTTATTTGTTTATTTAAAATTTTTTCCTCTTTATTTTGGAAGTTAAAGCAAATATACACTCATTACTCGTCTACAATAAGATTCAAAACTTTAACCCCTGGTAGATCATATCAATGGTACCTTTTAACCTCTGGTAATTTGATTGGGACTAATGAAGGTATTAACATTGTTCTTAAGTTGTAAGCCTAACCAAAGAAATTTTTATATAACTAGAAAAGTTGTATTTGATTATTGAATAAGCCATCAAAAGTGTAGATTCTTGGATTGAATTTTCAATTTATTAAGGTTTAGATAGACCGAACATAGAATTGTTTAGTTTTTCGCGGTTATAATGATTGGTTTCTTTTCTATTTTATCATTCTTTTGTTGAGGATATAAACAGAAATAAGCTATGACAAAGAGTCTGTGCACTGTAATAAAATTTTGAAACTTTTGTGTACAAAATATTATGACATTCTTAATGAAATAATATTATCGTTGCACCAAAACCAAACATGAACATGACTTAATGTTGAATTTGAGCATGCATCTACTCACACTTGTTGATGGACCGACAACATGTGAGATCTGATCTTCCACTATTTCGTCACACAATTGCCCCATGTATTATTGTATACATCCATTTTGTAATTTTGAAATATTTTTACAAAACACATATGGACCAAGTGTTACAATCTTATAAAATGAAAAAGTGTATCGCTTTGAGAAGAGCGATGATATACAATACTTGTTCGGTGTTTCATAATGCGATGAATATCTCACTACAGTGTATGGGATCACCATCAATTCTGTGAGATAATTTACAGTGTCGTAAAGTATCTTTCACATATCTAAATTCTAATCTAACATGCTTGTACATGATAAAAAAAAAGTTTTCATTTTTAAAAAAGGCACACCTTATGACTGGGGTCCACTCAGTTGAAGGTCAATTCTTTTAACATTTTTACTTCTCTCTTAATCTAAAGGTCAAATTAACTAGTATTTTTTTCATCCCATGATATGGAAATCCTATCCCTAGTGACCCAAGCACGAAACCTTTATAACATTATAAAAGCACTGTAAGGGAAGCCAACTTCTGATCTCCACAGACCTCTCCATCTCTGTACAAAAATTAAGAATTATAATATTTCAAAAGTAGTGAAATTAAAAATGGAGCAAGAAATTGTATCAAGAGAAGGTGACGGAGAGAAATGGGTGTATGATTCTTCTGTTGATCATAAAGGAAGAGTTCCTCGCCGAGCTTCAACTGGAGTGTGGAAAGCAGCCCTCTTTATCATTAGTAAGTCTAGAATCAATACGTGTGTGTGTGTGTGTGTGTTTGTTGTTTTGTATTTATATGTAACTTATATATGCTACCAAGTAATACATGTACAATATAGCTAATAAGTCATATCATCAAAGTTACTCCTATTTTTTTCTTTTGGATTGAGTTGAGTGTTATTTATTTCTTCCCTCATTTTTTTTTTTACAATGAAGAATCAACCCATTCGGTAGCCACTTCAAATTCTCTGATGATTTACAACCTTTGGATATGTACAATCACCTGCAAATCACACACATCGTTTTAACCGAAATATTTTTGGGAATTTGGATATCCGAATTTACGGTTCAGCACAACACTCGGTGAAGTAAAAAAAAGAGAGTCAATGAAATTTCTTTGTTTTGGTTAAAAATAAAAAATAAAATAAATTAAAAGACAAGAATTGTCCCCCAACAAGCATCCATTGTCACTAGACAGCTACTTTGAACAGCTTGTAATTTATTGAAGGCAATAGCTTGTAATTTGTTTCCTGTATAAAGTGGTGTTTTATGAGTTTGGAGTTGAGATTATAAATGAGCACGAGCAACATCTTTTGTCGAAATGGTGGAATAAGGAAAAGGATTAGGGCAGGCACACTTTCCACAAAGAAATGGCTTTGAAATAAACATATCAGGGTTTCTCAGATGCCAGTGTTTTGCTACTGAATATGGTCATTAAAACAATCTGTGGGACTCAATTTGGCCTATGGAATCCTAGTTTAAGGTGGGGAGTAAACATATCGATTTGAAAAATATGTGTGATGAACTCTTTAAGAAAAACTTACAAGGGTTGCTTCATTGTGTCTTGGAGGTTACGGATTTGAAATCGAAAACAACCTTTTCACATGAAAGTAAGACTGTGCATTTCACCCTCCCCATACTCCACAATGGATGGACTTTTTACTAATTGATTTCTTTTCTAAATTTTGGTATAAATAGCAATTGAGTTTAGCGAGAGGCTGTGCTTCTTTGGACTTTCAACAAGCCTCATCACATACCTCACCAAAGTCATCCAGCAAGACCTCAGGACAGCAGCAAAGAATGTCAACTATTGGGCAGGAGTGACCACAATCATGCCTCTAATTGGAGGGTTCCTAGCTGATGCCTACACTGGCCGATTTCCTATGATCTTGCTTTCATCAACCATATACCTTATGGTATATATATTTCATCTTTTAACTGTAAAATGTAAATTAACACTTACCATGGTCAAGTTTAATATGTGTGCATTTTTTTTTTTAATATGGAATTCAGGGTTTAGGTCTCTTGGTCATGTCCCGGTACATCCCGAGCCTAAAGCCATGTGACACAGACTCATGCCAACATCCTAGCAAGGCTCATGAAGTAATCTTCTTTCTTGCAATGTACTGTATCTCTGTAGCAACTGGAGGATACAAGCCCTGCTTACAGAGCTTTGGAGCTGATCAATTCGACGACGATCACCCTGAAGAAAGGAAAAAGAAGATGTCCTATTTCAACTGGTGGAACTTTTCTCTTTGTTCTGGGCTTGTGCTTGGCGTGACATTGGTTGTCTACGTGCAAGAGCATGTCGGCTGGGGTGTTGCAGATCTTATGCTCACAATAGCTATGGCAATTACTATCTTAATCTACTATTTCGGAAAGTCGTTTTATCGATATAGGGTGCCAGAGGGCAGCCCTTTGACACCCATGTTGCAGGTTTTGGTTGCAGCCATAAAGAAAAGAAGTATGCCTTATCCATCCAACACTAGTTTGTTATATGAAGCTCCCAAGTCACAAAAGCCCAAAGGAAGGCTCCTATGTCATACAAATAATCTCAGGTATGGATATATATATAATGTACAAGATTATAGATTGAAATTTGCTTCTTCATATAGTTTGAAATGAGTCTATCTTTTCCTGATTGCATAGAGGATCATTCTAGGATAATCTTTTTCGAATTGTAGCTTTTATTCTAGAGGATAAATTTACGTTATTTGAAAATTAATCAGCTTTTGAAATGACTTGGTATTGCATTTCAATCTGCAGATTTCTTGACAAAGCAGCAATAACTGAAGGGAATGAGGATGAGAAAATACCAAGTCCCTGGAAACTAGCAAGAGTGACAAAAGTCGAAGAGTTGAAACTCATCCTTAACATGATCCCCATATGGTTAACTTCCTTAGCATACGGGACATGTGTAGCACAGAGTGGAACATTCTTCATCAAGCAAAGCAGCACAATGAACCGAAAGATAGGTCACCATTTTGAGATCCCACCGGCTACTATATTCTCTCTCACCGCGGTTGGAATGATTATTGCTGTCGCCATCTATGACAAGGTCCTAGTTCCGGCACTAAGAAGAGCTACAGGCAATGAAAGAGGCCTAAATATCCTCAAAAGGATTGGTTTCGGCATGATATTTTCAGTTCTATCCATGGGAATTGCAGCACTAATCGAGAGGAAGAGGCTAAGCATTGCACACAATGAAATTAGTCTAGGGAATATAGGGCCTGTCCCTATGAGTGTGTTTTGGCTAGCACCCCAATTCCTTCTTCTTGGTGTTGGAGATGCATTTACTCTTGTTGGCTTGCAGGAGTATTTCTATGACCAAGTGCCTGATTCAATGAGAAGTTTGGGCATAGCATTCTATCTCAGTGTGATGGGCGTTGGAAATTTCTTGAGCAGTTTCCTGATAACTGTTGTGAACAATATCACTGAGAAGTCCAGCGGGACTAGCTGGTTTGGCAAGGACTTGAATACCAGCCGTATCGATAATTTCTACTGGTTGTTGGCAGCCATGAATGGGTTGAACATTTGTGTGTTTGTGTTGTTGGCAAGGAGGTACTCTTACAAGAATGTGCAGAGGGGTGTGAACGTAGCCGATACCCATATAGGTGATGAAATGGATTCTGTGGCTTGAGATTTCTCAAGTACATTCAGGAAAAAAATTCTAGTGATGGGTGAAGTCTGTTTTCTGGACTAAGAATGTGGAAGATGTTTGGGAATGTGAAAAAAATTTAAAATCAGAATGCAAACCTTTCCAAAAGTAGGATTGTTTAGTTTCTGTTGGTGTCACTTATTAAAGGCTGACATGGCACGTTGACAAGTTGATACGACCCTAACCAAATCCCTCGTGGTGATTTGAAGAGTCAAAAGCCTCGAAGGACCAACCCTCGAGCACATCAAGCCTTGTTATCGCTCCAGGCCCATCAAGCCTCGAGGGACCAACCCTCGAGCACCCCAAGCCCTAGTATCGCTCCAGTCCCATAAAGCCTCGAGGGACCAACATTCGAGCACCCCAAGCCCTAGCATCGCTCCAGGCCCATCAAGCCTCGAGGGACCAACCCTTAAGCACCCCAAGCCCTAGCATCGCTCCAGGCCCATCAAGCCTCGAGGGACCAACCCTCAAGCACCCCAAGCCCTGGTATCGTTCCAGGCCCATCAAGCCTCGAGAGACCAACCCTCGAGCACCTCAAGCCCTGGCATCGCTCCAGGCCCATTAAGCCTTGATGGACTAACCCTCGAGCACCCCAATCCCTGGTATCATTCCAGGCTCATCAATCCTCGAGGGACTAACCCTTGAGCACCCCAAGCCTTAGAATTATGCCAGGAAGTAACGCATCGAAAGATTAGAGCCCCAGAGGGCTCGCCACCAAGATACTAATAGGTTCATGTATAGCACGAAACGAAGGTAGGGCCTTCGTAGCTGTAAGGAATCTAAATTTGGGAAACCTAGGAGGATCTTGGATTGGTGGATGAGAAGTCAAGAAATGCCTTCGCTCTTAGCAAGGCCCAAGTAACAAGATGATGGGATTATACACATTATGACAACAAACCTTAAAATCACATTTAATGCTATATCAGGCTCGACCAATCGGTGGCCAAGCAACATTAAATGCCCCAATTAAGGGAGAAGTGACATGGCAACATAGTGCAAGGCTTGATGAGAGGATTAGACTCTTTAGGCTCCTAAACCCCCAGGATTATCCACATAATCTTGACTGGGAGCAATGCATGTAGTGCGACCAAGCGTGTGCACAAAATAATGCACAATACTTTAGGTTTAGAAATAATGTCAAGTGGGTACCATATTTTAAAATTTATAAAACCACTAAACACTTATACTATGGAGTATGAAGTGAACATGGATCGTCCCAAGAGATCTAAACAATTATAAGTTTTTCATAATTGAATTCTACTTTAGTGCTTATGTGATTACTAAAAAGGTTTGGTTTTGTGATTAGACTAATTTTAAACTTAATAATGCAAATAAAGAGTAGAGTATAAAAGATTGGAAAGAGACTTAGGGTGTAGGATTCACCACTAAGCACATTCCTTAACTCACTCACTTTCAACTAATTGGGGAAATAATTAAATGTAATTCTAATGTAGCTAATACTTGCAAAGAAAAGTATGAAGCATCAATTTCAAGCTTGAATTGCATACCTAATGACAAATAAACTAAGTGTAGTGCAATTCACTAATCCAAAGAATGGTCCATCAATTCAAGTTACAATTCTAGCTTACATTAATCTAGAAGATAATGCAATTGTGACAGAAAGTATAGAATTCAAACATAAGTATGGATGGTCTACTTATCTAATAATTGAATTGCAATTAAATTAATTAATCTTACATTAAACTAATTAAACATGAATTTAAAACTAATTAGACAATAAATTAACCTAAACATGTAGTGCCATCCATCAAATAAAAGTAATTTTCCATCAATTTGAACACGATTACAACTAATTAACCACATGCATAGACATCACAAAAATCAATTTACAAGGAATTCAAGTGTATAGCTTGTTTATTCATCAATAACACATAAGACAACATGAGATTAATACGAATAAACAATTGAAAGAATTAAATCATGTTATTCAAGCTTATACATCAATTACATAAATAAATCCCCAAAAAGTATGAAAATAGAGAGAGAATAGGTTACATGCTTAGGGTTTATCCAACCCTAAGTAGGAGAATTAGCCACTCATGATTGATGGAGTTGAAGACAGAACAATCTCCATCCTTGGATTCATCATCTCTGAGCTTCTTCTCAAAACCCTAGCCTGTTCTTACTTTTTCTCCTCTTTCCCGTGTTTTTCCAGAGAGAAAAAAAAACGATACAGAATAATAATTAAAAAAAACTTAATCCTTCTAATAATATTCACCTAAATAAAATAAATACCAACCCTAATCTAATAGCTCATTGGACCTTAAGTAACAACCCTATTAAAGCCTAATAGTTCACAAAATAAGCCCAAGCAATAAAAAAAATCTGTAATATTGTCAAGTCCTGGGGGATCGATCCTTCCAGAGTTGGAAATTTCCTTTAAGCCCTATTTAGCTCCATTTTAGCCCCGAGCTCATTAGTTTGCTTCTTCATCTTTGGGAACATCATCAAAGGCCTGAGATTGACCGTTTTTGAAGAATAAACACACTATACGAGCAATGGGCTGCGACCTCCTTTTTGCCATTTTCTGAGCTTTTTCTGAATATCTTTGCTTGACTCTAAAAAGGCTTTAATGGACCGTTCTTAGCTCATTTTAACTTTATTGCCCTGAAATACACATAAACATAAATTAGGACTAAAACATGAAATTAAGATAGATACAAAGACTGAAATACCCTAGCTTAGGTGCTGAAATGTGCAACATTTAAGCACTTATCAGCATGCGAGAAATCATGCATGGAAGAGACTGTTGGATAATGACCAATGGAATCCGGGCCTATAAATAGTATTATCCCATGAAGGAATAAAGCACCAAAAGAGTGAGTTGTCATAAGATACTATAAATTTGCCCTACCACCATCTCAATCTTGACAATTGGTCTTCTTCTCCTCCTCCTACACTGAGTACCTCCTATATTTCTTCACAGTTGTACTTCTGATATCACCATTATATACTTGTTTATTGGCTTGATAAAAAAGAACCTCTACATTTTGGCGACTCTGCTGGGGATATCAGTACAAGCAGATGGAATCACATGATATGCCGACTCACCATTCAGAGCCCTCCGTTGGGGGAGGTAGTAACGTTCCCCTCTAGTTTTAAGCGCCATCACGTGCCTTCAACGTTTGTGCACCTCACATCACACTGTTGGAGAGCTCAGCAGCCCCTTCCATCCATGAGAAACTGTTGCAGTCCAACCGTAATCTCAATGAGCGCCTTGATAGACTGGAAACCATGATCATGGAAAGTGCACGGGTCAGAACCACTTCTCTCTCCAGAACAACCCTGCTTGAACATGACCAACTAGCCAGTTCATCCACTCATGTACCACCACTGTGGTACCCACCGACGCAGGGTTAGACAGCCCCAAAGCCTACCCCGGTGCAAGTTGTGCCTCCGGTCAACCCCTTTCCAGAGTACATCACTGAATCCATGTTGTGGGACTTCTTTATGAAGTATGCCCCGTCTGCTGCGCGCGCGTTGGTACTATGCTCCGAGCTACCATACCTAAAAAGTCTTGCTCAGACTCTATATGCACAAGGGTACATCATCCCAAAGTTCCCCAAGTATGACTGTGTCAAAGGAGATGCTGACGAGCATCTACAGAGATTCATAGAGTCTTTAGGTCAGTAGAGCCTCAATGAGGTCCTACGTCTTAGAGAATTCTCCAAGTCCCTCACGGGGCTCGCCTACAGGTGATTTAGGAGTCTCGAGCCAGACTCGATCACCACGTGGCAGCAGCTTTCCCAAAATTTCCATGCCAAGTTTGCCAAGCCATCAAGCAGGTCACTACCCTCTCCCTCACCAAAGAAACACAAAAGTCCCACGAAGAACCCCTTAAGTTCATCTCCCCGTTCCAAGCCTGTGTGAGGGAATGTTTTGAGGGTAGAAGCGAGAGAGATCTGGTTGACATCTGCATACAAGGCATGAGCAGAACTTACAGGGTACACTTGGTTAGTTTGGGACTTAACAGCTTCAGCAACCTCACCACAGCTATTCAGAATAACTGCAAGGACCTTGCACCTCCCAAAGTAGAAGTCGCTAGATAGGCCACTCGTAAAGACACACCAGTCACTTCTCGCAATGACAAAGCCAATAAACGCAGCGAAGCAGATACCAAGGTTAAAGGACCTCGCACAGAGCAAGCTAATGATCCTCTTCCATTCCCAGTTCGCATGGAGGAAGTTGCCAGCACCCTTGAGCAGTGGGTTAAACACGGTGTGGTCGCACTACCCATTCCTCATAAGGAGCCAACCACGCAAGATCGCGCCAGTTTCAATTTCTGCGTCTTTCATCAAGCCACCACGCATCCGACAAATGCCTGCTGAACTCTGAGGCAAATCTTTCAGCAACAACTTGAAGGTGGTGACCTTGAGGTGACCACGCCAAAGGATGTGCGGCGCAATCTTTATCCTTGCCACCACAGTGTGGCCATGGTCACTTACTATGATGAAATTAAAGAAACTAATCCCCCGCATTCACAGATTCAGACACGATAGAGTGAGGACGAGTGCTATGCATCAGCTTTATCAAGTCAACCCACTTCCCAGCGAGCTCCCTTGACCATTTCCTTCTCTGAATTTGATAAGAGAATATCCACTCCTCACAATCGTCCTCTTTATGTCACCGCATATGTCAATGGTATGGAGTTCTGACGTGCTTTTTTTGACAATGGATCTTCCATTAATGTCATGCCTTGGACAACTTTCCTGAAGGTTGGTCTGCCCCATGATCGCCTTATCAAGGAAGCCATAGAGGTATATGGGTTCGACAATGAGTCCCACCAGACTCTCGGTTATGTGAATGTCGATTTGGCAGTCAACAAGTTTCAGGCTCCCACCAAGTTTCATGTCATTAAGGCCGACACCTCTTACCATGTGCTCCTCGGGCTAGCGTGGATGCACTGCTTTGGTATAGTAGTTTCAACCTATCATCAGTGTTTCAAAGGCATATTAGGCAAT